TATGCCTGCGCAAATGCTCGAGGGATTGAATGCTGGTATATATTTTGACCGGCACAATCTTAGATGTATCTGAGTTGCATATGTATTGATCGAAGATAAGTAATTTCTGAATTGGTGACAGTTTCCACGCACACATCATTGCAGTATGAAAGAGCATGCAAGTGTGAAATGAAATCAATCGTAATTCACAGTTTGTGATAATCAGGAGATTCCTTCTAGATTGCAGGATACACATGTCCGTGTAGGAAGTGTGGACCTAAGATGTGAATGTTCTGTTGTTGTTGAGCAGGGCAGCTGGTTGTGTTAAGTTCTTCTGTGGAATTCACTTCAATGAAGTGGAACCGAGATGTTTCGAATAGGGTCCCTGATATGTTTTTCTGCAGAGTAGTACAACTAAGTTATTCACACGTCCAGACGACAAAGCGAAGGCTTCAACGCGAAAGGTTCCCTGTGGTACGTAATATTGATCCAACCAGGGAGACGAACTCGTGTGAGAATTGGATGGAAGAGAATTGATGCGAACTTGGTTGCAACTGATAACCGGCAGCAAAGGCTTGATCAATATTAAGCGCAAGGCATAACAGAGCGTGCCAACCCACAAAAAAGGTTACACAATTGCGTGCCCGGGTTGAACAAACAAATTGGAATCAGTGTACAGAACTGTGAATACAGCGATCAAGTGGAGAGTGGCTATGAAGTAGTAGTTAAGTAAGTGTAATTGTTGCCCATTTTATACGGTGTTGATCGATCCAAGTAGCATTGTAGTCAAATTATGGCCTATGTAATAAACGTTCCACTCTAGTATTGTCTTTTCACCTTCTAAAACTACTTGACATTATCAAATGAGCAATTTGAATTTATTCGCTATAGCTAGAATGCCTAAGGTAAATATGGACTTTGATTTATGAACAAAGTTTCTAATTGGTTCACTATTTTGTTTTGATTGTATTTTTTTTTACAAAACAAAAAAAAAAAAAAAAAAAAAAAAAAAAAAACTTTATAAAATTCATTCTCCTATGTCATATGGCATTTGTAGGATAATACTTCTTGTATTAGTCCATTTTAATCTTTGTGGCCATAGAACTACTCCTTCTTTTTGTGGTGCTTGATATTATTTATTCTTTTATGAATGACTTATTACAATTTACTATTATTTGATTGTTTTTAAAAGATGTTAGAAAGGTTTTTCTATTTTCCAACATCTTTGTACCAAGTGACATCCAAATTTGGATATTATTTGTTGATGTGTTATATAATTAATGGTGCAAAAATGACCAATATATAATTTTTAATGCATATTTTGACTAAAATGGCAAAATATGATATTACACAATACCATTTATTTCTTCTAAAAACAAACCAAGTTTTTTTACATATATATATATATATTATTTATTACCAAATTTGGCAAGATAATGCTCTATGTTATCAACCTAAATAATCATTTTTGAGTGGAAGTTGTTTGTATTGCTTGTTGCATCCAAAAGATCTCTTATCATTCATCACTTCCAAACATCAAAGCTTTTAGAAGATGGAGAGGGATAAAATCCAATCTACAATATCTACGAGTTTTGGATGTTCTACCTTTGTAGAATTCTTATACAACTACATCTTTACCACACTTCCATGGATAGTGTGATGCAAACTATATAAAATGTCTTTAATCTAAAAAGTCAACTTTTAAGCACTAATATTATATTTATTATTCTCTTTTGAGTTGGCACTCTTAGAACAAGTTATAGTTGTTTAATATTGTACCAAAGCCAAATATAAAACCATAGCTACAACTTTAAGCTACTCAATGTGATTTCAAGTATCATTAAAACAGCTTGTATACAATGTATTATTGCCAAACACAATTTATTGTAACACCCAATCTTGCATTGCAATGACTAAGAATCCTAGCTTTCATGCTTGAACAACATATGTTGATGTACAATACCACAATATTTTATGCAAAAGCACAATGAAAAATAAAGTTATTACATGACATGTTTCTTGAAAATAAACTAAAGGCCAATATTATTTACTTTAGCCAAAGCATTTTACATCTTAGTGTGATTGATTTGACTTCAACAAATTTTAGATGAACTTAGTTTATGCTGATTAGCATATAAGGAGAGGTGGTAGAACACATATTCACCGAAAACAACAGTAATAAATAATAAATAAATGTTACTACCCACAAAGTAGTTTGGTAGGTAGTTGCAACCATCCCCGCCCCATCCATGAAGACATGAAAAGTCACCCCTAATCTTCACCTCCTGGATTAACATCGAATAATATATGAGCACGTTGACAATTCCAGCCCCGGCATATTATTAGACCTGCCCCCCGGCAATCCAAATGGCGGCACGGCAGCCCCTTTCCCTGCAGCTACCACCACCAACCTGGGATGCTCATCCCGGCCCAGCAGCAGCATCCTCCCCCGCCGCACAACACGACACACCGTGTGTGTCGCTGTCCCTCACCTCAACTCAATGCTATAACATCCCCCCGCCGCCGCGCTCCCTCTCCACCTTCATCACCCGCTCTCGTTGTCGTTGCTTGAGCACCCGGCTGCGCCACCCCGAGCTCCCCATCTTCGCCCTTCCCCCAATCGGACAGGGTGTCGGGGTTCCATCTGCACTGCGCCGCAGTCCCAGCGCCAGCGCCATGAAGCTCCTCGCGGTCGCAGCCGTGTCCTTGATCCTGCTCGTGACCTCTCAGATGGTGGTCACATCCCACGCAGCCGGCTGCGACATCCTCAAACTAACGCCGTGCGTTGCAGCCAGCAGGAATGCCAAGGTGATGCCGTCCAGGCAATGCTGCTCCAACATCGCCGGCATGGGCAAGGGGCTTCCGGGAGCCAAGTGTCTGTGTTCTCTCCTGAGCCACCCTCTGGCCAGGTCGCAAGGGGTGGCTCCCCGGATCGCTCTTGGCATCCCCCAGAAATGCCGCATCGCCGTCCCGAGGGGCTTCGTGTGCCAAGGTACGCTTTCACGCCTCCTCCCGCGCTGATGCAGTGTCTGTGCCTTCCAGCCGCCCGGGCGCCCCAGAGGGTGGGCTGTAGCAGCGATCTCCCCCGCGTCATGTGGTGTTGTGTTTGCTCCTGCTGCGTTGCGCTGCGTTGCGTTGCCTTGGGCGTGTGGGCTGTGAACATGCTGGCGACAGTGGGTCGGGGAGTGCACCGCCTCGTTGGATGCGGAGCCGATCGCGATGATGGGCGGCCACTCACGCCTTTGAGTTGCGTGCTGTGCAGGAATTCGCGTCCCCGGAAGCTGAGCTCTCAGGGTCCAAGCCGGAGCACCGCCGTGGCCACGTGGGGTGGGAGTGGACGGAAAGCTTCTGAGCGTGCAGCCGAGTAGAGTGGCATTGTGTACTCCGCTGTGAAAGCGGGACAATTATTTATAAATGTGACAACGTCTTTCCGTGACATCCGGCACGCAGTGCTGGTGTGACAGCCTTTGTAATCGTAATGTGGTGTGCGATGCGTCCAACGCTGGTCCAGTCGTGTGGTGTGTTGTTGTACCCGTCAGGATACGGTGCATGGGAGTGTGTGTGAGACACAGAGCAAACGGCATCACGCTGCAGGGGTTGTGGAATTGTGGCAGCATGGAACTGAACTGCGCAGCACCGGATTTAGTCCGTCCGGGTGGAAACAAGACAGGCACACAGGAGTTGATTAGATAGGTTCTGACCTTAGATCTGGTCGGGGGCGGATACCACTTCGCAGCCGGATGTTGATGTTGCCTGATGTACGAGGAAGCGAAACAGCTGTGTGCACACTAGGGTGGCGGTGACAACGCATGGGAACCGATTCGGCGAGGATGAGGTCGTTGTGGAGATCCCTGGCTTCGCTGCACTTCGTCATGTCGTGGCTTAGAATGTCAACGAGAATGTCAACTTTGAAGTGTTTTCCACATAAGAATTTAACAGAACCAGCTGCCTTGCTCAACTTTGTTTAAGATTCATTAGAGTTTTATTTGATTTTATTTGGAGTCTGACCTAGTTTTTAATTCAAGGTATGATTGGAGTTGATGTAAGATTTTATTAGGGTTTGTTAAACGATACAGTAGAATTTGATTAAGCTTCAATTAGGATATTAATTTTGTTATTTTGTAAAGATTTTTAGAATACATGTATGTTTTGAAGTTTAATTCATTATTTCTTTAGGTTTCTTTTTTAAGTTTTTGAGACTTTTTTTAGATTTAATTAAAGATTGATTAATATTATTATATTTTATTTCAAATTTGTTTAGTATTTTATAAGAGTTGTTAGGATCATCTTAATATAAGTCCAGTTTTTCTTTTATAGGAAGGTGTCTAGTACATTCTCAACTTAACTTCATGTAATATGACATATGTGGTGAATCTGATGTAAGAAGCTTGAAATTGAATATCTTTGAGTTGGTTTATTTTTATTTTTATATGGACGTGATATAAAATGAGAGAAAGAATTTTTTAGGAACTATACGATGAGCTTCAAGCGGAACTTCTAGTAGAATTTCTACTAGATGACAATGTATGTACTTACATCCAATCATTGTAAGTACATTTCAAGCTTTTACATTGTTTATGCAACAACAATAAAATAGTGATTGTAAAGAAGCTTTGGTAACCAAAGTATTACAAGCAATAATTAACAAAGTTGACTAATTTGATGGATAAGACACCTCAAAGTATTTAAGATGTTATGTGTGAAAAATAAAATTATATCAAATTTCTGAGAAGAAAATGATTAAGCTATTTGAACTTGCCATAGTATTGGAGATAAGAAAATATGTTACATCAAAAATTAAAGCACCTAAAATTCAAATATATACAATACAAGTTACAATACCTGTTGTCTAATGTCCAACATCTACATCAAAAAAAGGAGATAAAAGAATTAAAAATATTATATGTGATATATAAGATCTTTAAATTAAATTAGAAAGTCTTTAAGAAAAGACTTCTACAAATAATTTAAAGATAATTTCTAAACAAGGATATTATAAAGATGCATTTCATATGAAGATACTTTTTATATTATAAAAGATTACAATAAATTTAATGATATAGTGCAACTATCAAGGACATGAAGCTGAAAGAAAGAAATCCTGAATAAACTCTTGTATCATTCAAAAGAACTAAAAAATCACTCAAAGATGATATAGTATTAAACTAGAATAACTATTGCCAAATTCAAGAAGACTAAAAAGCCTTAAAACAAGATTAATGATTTAATAGGCATTGACAAGAATAAAGAAGGCTTCACTCTTGCCTCTATATATTCTCTTAATTAGGAGCTACATTGTGGTGTCCTATAGGACCTGTAAAACATGTTGACTTTGCAAGACACATATCTTAACTTGCAATGCAAGTTTTTTCTATGAACACCACATAGTTAGCTTCTTCCATAAGCTACGAATACAAAGTTAACTTGTTGATCAAATTTCTCACTTATTAATCAACTATAAACACATGTATAGTTAAAGCAGGATCTATGAAGCTTCTAAAAAGCTTTTCTAAAAAATATTATGAAATAAATCTACTTTTATCTATTTCTATTTAATCATATAAATAAATATTAGAATAAATATGTATATTTGTGACATTACCTATTCTTCTAGAGACGAGTTTAAGAAGGAGCACTCATCATATGTTAAGGAAATCCATGATACAATGAATTGTATTTGCTATATACTTTGATCTTTGTTCTCTTCAAAGATAGTTGATAGGTCCTCTTAGCCATCAATAGTGTTTCATACTAAAGTGGAAAGACCACCCTATTATTTAATCATTATTAAGGCCTTCATAACTTCTTTTAAATAAAACATTTGAAACAATGTAAGAAGTTGTTCTAACCTCTAGTAAAATTATCAAATATTGAGATTTTTTTTTATACAAAATTGTACCAATTTTGAAAAATATAAAATTGATGCAAAAATAAATGTTGTCTTTAAGGCTTCAAAAGATGTTTTAACTTCTTTGCTCTATTTAATTTTGTCTTTATATGTCAAACATGTAAGAACAGCTACAACTTAAGAAAAGTTCTTGCTGAAGATTTATTAATAATTGACAAATCTCAAAAATAATTCCATATCTATAACTATTTTTGGAACCTTCCAAACTATGATAGTCTCAACCTTTTTAAAATCCATTATTAATCCTTCATTGAAAATGATATATCCTAGAAAATTAACTTGAATAGTTTGGAATACACACTTTTCTATCTTGGCATATAATCTTGTATCTCTAAATTTTTGTAATATATGTCAAAATGAAATTCATATTATTTTGTATTTTTAGAATAGATTAGAATATTGTTTAATTCATAGACAATAAAATCATCAAAAAACTCACAAAAGATATCATTTGTAAGATGTTAAAAAGTATTTGATGCATTCATGAGTCCAAAAGGCATGATATTATATTTGAAATATCTATACCTAATTCAAAAAGCAATCTTCTACTCATATCCTTTTTTAAAGAAGACTTGGTTGTATGCTCTTTGTAGATCTATTTTTGCATAGATCTTTGCTTAATTGAATTAATCAAGAAGTCTTGAAATTAAAGGTAGGAAATACCTATTTTTAATGGTGATCTTATTAAGTCCTCAATAGTCTATATACATCCATAGAGATCCATCTTTTTTCTTCACAAATATGATAGGAGCTCATATTGGAGATTTCAAGTGGCATATGAAGTTCTTAGCCAAGTTCATGTCAATTTACTCTTTTAGTATAGCCATTTCATTTTGCAATAAGTTGTAGATTGATCTAAATGGTGGTTGAGCTTATTATTGATTAATTCTATAATCATAGATTTGATGCTTAGGAAGAATTTTTATATGTTTTTTTCAAAAATATTATAGGAATCTTAATATTGGTTAGGAATATCACTTAATATCTTTTCACCATCAAAAATAGATGTGGCATACATAGCAAAAGATGGCCCTTCTTTTGTTGCATGCATGAAAGCTCTTGCACCTACTAGTAAAGATTTGGATGTATTAAGCTTATCTATTTCTACTTCACTATCAAAATTTTAAATTAAACTACAAGAAAAAATAAAAATATGAAAAATCAAATGTATCTAAGAATTATATTTTTTTAACCATAATAATCCTAAAATAATTAGATTAAATAGAGATCTTATCACATTAAATATTATGACACTACTATAATCTTTAATTGCTACATCTAAATGAACAATGTCATCAATAACATTACCAAAAGACAACAAACAAGTATCTATGACTTTTATAAGTACAAATTTAGTTATTATGACTAAAGATATTTCTTATTTTTTGACAAAGTCTTTGTCTATAAAACATGTTGAGGCTCTTGAATTTAATAATGTAAAGACTTGTGATTTTTAGATCCTAAATATCCATCTATTATAAAACAAGATAAAGGATCTAAGGAGAAAATATGATCTTTAGTAGTTGTTGCATGTGATTCTAGCTCCATGATCTTTCTTTTAGTTGAAAAAACTTGTTTTTCAATACCTTATCTTCTTTGGCAATCATGCTTCTTATATTGTGATTGCATTTCGTTTTTGGATAATACTAAGCACTACACTTAGCTATTCTAAAATGTAAGTAATAACCCTCTTAATAAAATCACTTATTGTATTATTTTGTATTGCTTTTGGCTTTGATGAATAAGTTTTTGAAAATTTGAAAATTGTCATCATTACTTGGCCAATTCTTCTTTAAACAAGTCTTTATTTTTGATACCTTTTAAATAATTAATTGTTACATGCAATGGCTTGAGCAATAAATTATTTCAAAGATTCTACTTTTGACATTATTGATTGTAAAACTTTGGCATTATCCTTTAACTCATATAAAAATTGATTGATGAGGGCTTTGTCATTCCAATCTATATTACATGGAAGGTTTTGAAATTCAAAAATATATATAGTAGTTGATTGTAGTTCTTGTCATAAAAATAAGAACTAATTTCTCCAAATGTGGCTGTAAATACTTCTAAGAATAAATTCAAATGATAAAGGAGTCATGAATCTTTTTCCACCAAAAGTATAAATTAAGAGAGAGCACTTCTAAGTAAAATTGTACCTACAAATCCAACTTGAGTAGATCCATTAGGATATTAGAAAAGATGCAACCTTAGATAGAGCTTGACTTATTGCAAAAACCTTTGAAATTTTGATCTTGTCCAATCAAACTTCTTCGGCATATTAATCCTTATCCTTGTCATACTTGTAGAAGAAAAGCTTCTTAGAGTTGGTTGTGAGGTTGATTTACTTTCTTCCTTCAATTGTAAAATTTTTTGACATAGACTCTCAACTTTATTTTATAGGCATGGGATTAATATTTCCATGATTAGCGCTTGTGATGCATGAAATTTCTACCCTAAGAGTATTGACAAGTTCTTGAAGATTAGCATAAGTTGCAACTCTATTCTTACTTCTACCAAGTAGAGTATTTATGATGTTTTTTTTTCTTTCAAACAACTTAATAAATCCAC